AAGAATACAAAATTATAAATATAGATGTAGTTACAAAAGTGAATACTCAGAAGAGAAACCATAACAAATTGCATATTTTGAAAAGCTAACAAATACTGGAAATATCACTACATGCGCAGATTAACATATTTTCACTAACTCATTGCCCAACAGACCCACACCCACAAACCTTGTTTTTACTGCATGTTCTTGGATCTCCTTTTTTTTTTTTTAAATATAATCACAAGTGTATGTTGATTGAAAACTATTTTCAGGGTGATTTTTGTACAGGTGTAGTTCCAGATGGCACCTGTGAAGTATGTTCAAGAACTTTGCAGGACCAGCGGCAGCTGGTAGGTTCACATTCCGCATTATTTTGCTGCATGTGTTAGATAGAATTCTGCCTTTATTTTAGTGGCAAGAGAATCTTTTGGGTAAGCTACTTCCGGCAAATTGGATAGAGTCAAGACCCATTGGTGTGCTGTATTCAGGAGACCCATCTCACATGCAAAGACGCACATAGGCTCAAAACAAAGGGATGGAGGAAAATTTACCAAGCAAATGGAAAGCAAAAAAAAAAAAGCAGTGTTTGCAGTCCTACCCTCTGACAAAACAGACTGTAAACCAACAAAGATCAAAAAAGACAAAGAAAGACATTACATAATGGTAAAGGGATTAATTCAATAGGAAGAGCTACCTATCCTCAATATATATGCACCCAATACAGAAGCACCCAGATTCCTAAAACAAGTTCTTAGAGATATACCCAAAGGAGCTCCTTTTCATACGATGACAATTTTGTCCGCATTGTTTTCCACAGTGAGAACAGGAAGATAGATCAGCACCTGCTGTGGCGTATTTGGCTACAGCGTGATTTTGTGCGTCTTTGCTGGAAGTTAGCTTAGAAAAAATGTCTTTTTGTTTCACAATGACATAATTATGCTTCTACCTGGCCCGTTGATCCGAACTGAGACTGTTGTAAAAAATTCAAGACTATAATCCAATTTGGGAAAACTTCTATTGATTTCCTTCATATATGAGTTGTAAGATTTCAGGTCATTTCAGGGTTTCTTGTACAATTAAGAACATTACATGCTCTTTGAATTGACAGTACTGAATCTGTCATCAGTGATTTTATTTGTGGATTTTATCCTATCTACCTGAATGTCAGTTATTTTCCATCAAACCAGCAAGAAATTTAAATATTGGTGTAATATATTAATATTACTCACTTCTCTTCAATAACTAGGTCAGCAGTCCCCAGACTTTTTGGCACCAGAGACTGGTTTTGTGGAAGACAGTTTCTCCATGGATGGGAGTGGGTGGGGGGGATGATTTCAGTATGAAACTGTTCCACCTCAGATCATCAGGCATTAGATTCTCATAAGATGCCCGCAACCTAGATCCCTCCAATGTGCAGTTCACAATAGGGTTCGAGTTCTTGTGAGAATCAAATGCTTCCCCTGATCTGACAGGAGGCAGAGCCCAGGTGGTAATGCTCCTTCACCTGGCGCTCACCCTGCTGTGCGGCCTGGTTCCTAACAGCCCACGGACCAGTACCCATCAGCAGCTGTAGAGCTGGGGACCCCTGAACTAGGTTTTCATGTCACCTAAGTGCTAATTTATCACTTCCATTTGAAATTGACATCTCTTTTTTTTTTTTTTTTTGAGATGGAGTTTCACTCTGTTGCCCAGCCTGGAGTGCAGTGGTGCAATCTCAGCTCACTGCAACCTCTGCCTCCCAGGTTCAAGCAATTCTTCTGCCTCAGCCTCCCGAGTAGCTGGGATTACAGGCGCATGCCACCATGCCTGGCTAATTTTTTTTGTAGTTTTAGTAGAGATGGGGTTTTACCATATTGGCCGCGCTGGTCTTAAACTCCTGACCTCTTGATCTGTCCGCCTTGGCCTCCCAAAGTGCTGGGATTACAGTCGTGAGTCACCACACCCAGCTGACTTTTTTTTTTTTTTGAGATGGAGTCTCGCTTTGTCACCCAGGCTGGAGTGCAGTAGCGCAATCTCGGCTCACTGCAAGCTCCACCTCCCAGATTCACGCCATTCTCCTGTTTCAGCCTCCCGAGTAGCTGCGACTACAGGCACCTGGCACTACTCCTGGCTAATTTTCTTTTTTTTTTTTTTTGTATTTTTAGTAGAGACGGGGTTTTGCCGTGTTAGCTGACCTCTTCTTAATGAACTTCTGTTTCTGTTATGATGTGGACATTTTCAGTTATAATTCGCTTCTCAATGTTGGAAGATCTGTGCCATGCTTCATGTTCATCTCTTTTGTTTCATATTCTATTACTCAAGTCATCCATTGTTTTTTAATAAACAAATTTAAGATAAAATAAGGTACCCTTCAGATACATCTAAATTAGGAGTCTGCAATTTCTCACTTGCTTTATTCAAATATTCCAAAATCCCTTTCTTTCTAAGTTCCAACTTTAGTGGGATACTCAAGCTTGATCAAACATACCATTCCCACCAAAGTGACTTTTATGAGCTGTGGCACACTTATCATCCTACATGCTGCATTGCTGAGGGTAGTCCTGATGGGAACGAATTTCCATTTTCACTGAGTCCGAGATAATCGAGTCCTCTGTTTACAGCCATGTGTATCTGTTTGGAGGAATTTTCCACAGACCAGGCTCTGCATATTCCAACCTTGTCCATGCTCGTCTGCCCCTGTTCTTGCCAGCATCACCGGGCATGGTGGCTTCCCTGTTCCACCCTTGTCTCTGCACCTCCATGTCATGATACAGGGAAGTTGACAGAGGGGCAGGAGGAACATGCTGGAAGCCACCACACCTGGTGTCTGTACACTGATGGCACCGGCAATGCTGCTGATGCCAGTCTACTGCTCACAGTCCAGGATCCAGGTATCAGCCTCCCCTCAGCCAAATCGTGGCCCCTCCCATGCCACCAGCAGAGGTGATGGAGGGCAAGTCAGAGCAGGAGGAAACAGCAGTCTTAGCCAACTGTGATGAAAATATCTTGTGCATTTCACAAAAACATATGACTTTGGGGACATATTGGAAGAGGACTATGCAGATTCAGGTCCTGAAGCTTAAGTTGCATTAGCTTCATGATAAATCCACCTCTAGGTGGTCCAGAGATGCCACCCTTAGGTACCCAGCTGGCAAACAAGTTGCACCCCAGGCCTTGTTCAAAGCTGCAGGGTCAGAGCCCTTGTTGATGCATCTCTGAGTCTCTCTGAACCAACATGTCCCTCTCTCTGTGTCCACAGCACTCCATGTGTTCCCATGCCCAGCATCAGTTGCTAACTTGCCATGACAACTGTCCAATGAGAGTCTCTGCCATCAGATGATGTCAGCCACTCTCAAGTACCCAGGGGCCACCAGAGAGGGGAAAATCTTACCCCTAAAGTTGTGCAGTGCCCAACCTATACAACCAAATATCACAGCCAGCCACCTCTCTTCTTAATCTCTCCTCCCCTCTGTGGCCAGAGTGACCTTTCTGAAATGGAAACTCAACCACATCACTCCCTCTTCATAAGAAAACAACCTGTAGGCATCCCTGCTCCTCTCACCATGAAGCCTAAAGCTTCTAACAGGGGCTCCAGACCATTATCTGCCTATCCAAGGCCATCTCTCACCATCCCCTAACTCATGCTCAAAGAGGCAGAGTTCCTCGCTTCTCTGAACCCTCAGCCCTGCCTCAATTTCTTTTCTCCACCACATTAACGGACTGGCTCCAGTCCAACCTTTATCTTGCCCACGCCTCCTCCAGGGAGCCTTCCCTGATCTGCCCATCCCACACACTTGTCGGTAACTCTTTATGCACCTCCCCTGGATCCTGTACCCCCATAAGAGATATCTTACCAAGCTGTTCTGTCATTTTTTTTTTCCATTTTTTGGCCTCTCCCATGCTCTTTTCCAATGAGGCATCAGAGAAGCAGATGAACAGGACACGGGCCCTGCTCTCACGGAGTCCTGGAAGTAACCGAGAGGACAGATTCATGCACAGCCAATCACAGACCTGGGAACGCCGCTACAGGGGCAAAGAACAAGCTATCGATGTTACAGCGACCCTCCAAGGAGCCCAAGAATTTCCTGAGTTGGAGAAGAGGGGTCAGGGCAAGGGGATTCTAGAGGGGTGCATGGGAGAGTAAACCTCACGGCCAGCAGAGACGGATGGGGGCTCCTCGCAGGGAGGGATGGGGGGTGAGAGGCTGCAGAGGTTGTCTGGGGCCTGCTGGGACTTGACCCGGCTGACTGTGGGCACCACAGAAGATGTGCCGTGGGAAGTGGCGGGGCCACGTTTGTCTTCTAGGAAGATGTCCCGGCAGCCAGGGAGGGTGGCCTGCAGGGGCCGGTGTGGAGGCAGGAAGACCAATGAGGGGGCTGTCAAATGTGGCGTCCAAAGCAACGCCTCCAGCTGCCAGTGGAGAGAAGCCTCATTAGCGAAAAGAAAGAGGAATCGCTCCTGCCGCTTAGACTGCAAAAAACCCAAGTTCAACACAAAATAAAATTTTTAATTTTTAACTTCTGAGTTTGCTTTTCCTAATTTCTCTCCTTCTTTTGCTGTTCCGTGCCATCTCCTTGTTTCCTCTCCGGCTTCCCATGAGTTCTTTGCATACTTTGTTTTCAGTTTAAAAATGCATATCTTTCAGTATAAAGTTAATGGTCTTGCCTCCCTGAAGCTGGTGAGACCTGAGTTCAAATCACAGCTCTGCTGTTTGCCGCCTGCTGTTCCTTCTTTCTGAAAGGGGAAGTTTCAGTCCGTCTCCGAAAGAGGCGTGTGAAGAGGAGGTCATACCCAGCAGGCATTTACGATACATGGGAACTAGGATGATTGTTTTAAATACTATGCTTCTTAAAAAGGCCTGTTTTAGCTGTTTAAGCAATCCAGGCGAAGATAAGGTGCTGAGTTGTGTCAGGAGAACAGAGAGAGATTAATTCCGGAGGTACATCAGGGGTGAGGACGACCTCACCTAACAGGTGACTGTCATGCCTGTGAGAAAATAGCTTTTCCAAATGGTGCCGTCCACTTCTGTTTCTCTACAGAAGGATGATGAAGTCTTCCGCCCCGAGATCCTGAGAGAACAGTGGCCTTAGTGGAAACACCACACACCTGGCTGGGTCTTGTCAGGTGGAGACGCTGAGAGCTGTTTCTTTCCGGTCCCGGAAGACGCGGAATTCTTTCCCGGCATCTTTGCTCGGCCTGCGTCTGAGCGGTAAGTCCGGCCCTCCCTGCCACATCTTCGCAGGCTGGTTCTTACTCATCCTTCACTTCTCAGCTCCAGTCTCACCTTTTCAGTGAGGCCACAGCCATCTGCCACGGGGACCGCGGTCATTCTTCCTACATCCTGTTTCATTCGTTGTCTGAGTGGCAATGCTCCTTTTCCTGTTTACTTGTGAACTGATTCCTTTCGTCTTCCCTCCCCGGCACGTACGCTGTGCACTACCCCATCTTCAGCACCTAAAACAATGCCTGCCACATAGTGGACACCGAGGAAATATTGTTGGCTGGGTGAGCAAATACCCTGCGAGCTTGTCTTTTCCCTTAACAACAGGAGGTGGTCATTTTTCTCAGCAGTGCATTTGGATAGGCTTAGCTTTGTAATGACTGTGTGGTTTTCCATAGTAAATACTTAATTACAGTATGTTGCATTGTCTGGCATTTCTGAGGATAATCTTTAGATACATTAACAGTAATTAATCGGAGATTAGGTATTGAGTTTGTATGATTTTCCGGAAGTGTGTGATAATTGATAGAAAGTTAGAATGAAGCCCCAGAGTATAACAGAGCTGCTTCAGGTATGGCCTTCATTCCACTGCTGCGGGGACAGTGTGAATAAATGCTTGCTGCCCTGCAGTGCAGTGTGAGCCTTCTGTTAACCACATTCCTTGAGACTGGCTCCCGGCACCTGCATTTCACTCCTCGACGTTCTCTGACTTCCACATTCCTGATGGGTGCACCTCTCCAAGGATGGAGCTGGGCTTGGGGAGACCAGGAGTCAGTGAGAAAAGATGGGTGTTGCAAACTCCTGTCAACCCACAATAACCCTCATCCAGTCTGCACACGGCAGCCTTTGGGTGCTGGTGTCCCGGGGGTCTTAGAAGCAAAACATCAGTGCCATCATCTCAACCTCCCCATTTCAGCCACCCACCCCCAGTTTTGCTGTCTTGGACGTCCACAGAGCTGAGAGCAACCTGTGGTCTCAGAGTGTCTCCAATCAGGGCAGAAGGTCAGAGTCGAAAAGACTCCTGTCCCCTACAGGAGTTTCTAATTTATACCCGCCCCCCCCGGTCCCCCCCATCCAGGTATATGTTTATTTGCTTTGGTGGGAAATAAAACTCATGCAATAGGGGAGAATTGAAAATGTAAATGAACATACTGATGACCAGTTAGATCCTTGCAATACATGCTGTGTCTTATTTGTCCTCACTCAATCTGGTTGAAAGAAAACTGTTCTCCAAACTTCCACATCACAGTTCCCGCTGGCACTATGTGTGCCATTTATACTATTATCCTCCCCCTAATATTCCTTCTTTAAATCAATTCATTTTGACTTTACCTTATTTTAAAAGAACACTTTTACAGCACAGACCTCCATGAAAATAGTCATTTCTCATCACCGTCAGAAGCTGCTATAAAAATAAATGCAAGAAACCACACCGCCATTATTAAACTCTTCCTAGATGCTGCGGCTTGCCTGAGGCTTGCAGCCCAAGCCTGCTCTAGCTTGCTAATGGAGGCAACTAGGATGCTTGAGAGAGGCGTGGGGAGGTGCTTGGGCCTCTCTCATTATCACAGAACTTCCCTTGCAATTTTCAGTGCTGCCAAGTGTTCCACCTGAAATCATTGCTCAGGTGAAATCACACCAGGTGCTCTGGCTGGAACTTCCCAGAGCCCAATCTGGGTGCTGTGGGCTTCTGGGTCCTCCGTGGCTCCCTGTGGTTGCAGAGGGATGAGGGGATCCTCTCACCTCCATATCAGTACCCCTCCACTGTGTGTTCACAGCCAAATTCTCAGCCACGCCTCTCTCCCATCTGCTTGGGAGCTGCCTGTCCACTAGCTTCTCCTGCACCAATGATCTGCTGATTAAAACAAAAACAAAAACAAAAAACAAAAAACAACAAAAACAAAAACCAGGCACAGTGGCTCACACCTGTATTCCCAGCACTTTGGGAGGCCAAGGCAGATGGATCACGAGGTCAGGAGTTTGAGACCAACCTGACAAACATGATGAAACCCCGTCTCTACTAAAAATACAAAAATTAGCCAGACGTGGTGGTGCGTGCACCTGTAATCCCAGCTACTCAGGAGGCTGAGGCAGGAGAATCGCTTGAACCCAAGAGGCAGAGGTTGCAGTGAGCTGAGATCACGCCATTGCACTCCAGCCTGGCGACACAGCAAGACTCTGTCTCAAAAAAACAAAAAACAACAACAACAAAAAGAAGACAGTTTTAAATTCTAGAGTCAGGTATGCTGGGTGAGCCCTGTGACTTGCTGGTCACCGCCCCCGCCTGCCTTTGGGGTCTGTCCTGTAACTGAGCTGTATTTCCTTTCCTCTGATACAGAGAAAGATACCACATCCCAGAGTTGCTGTGATCTTCAAACGAGACAAGATATGTAGAAGTGCCAGGCAAATATAAACCAGTTCTGCAACTCTAGGTGGATGGCAGAGGTAAGGGCAGGGAGGGGGAGGAGCTTGGTTGGGGTGGAGGGTGGATGGCTTTCTTTTCTGTTTTTTTTTTAAGCGGTCTGTGTCAGATGAAAAAGTTGCTCCCATCAGTCAAGGGCAAAGATGTTTAATTTCTGCTTCTGTAAATAAATATTTTAGGGTTTTTCATAGTGGGGTTTCAGAAAGGAAGTTTTCCCCCCTTATTTTTTCACTGAAGACATAGAAAGAATCATCAGACCAGCAAGCAGTACAGCTTGCCTTCCTGGAGTGTGTGAGCAGTGACCCTGAGTGGCAATCCCAGGCCCCTTCCCAGGTGGGACCAGACAGGGGCTTGTGGGCCAGCAGGTGCAGCTCATCTGTGTGGCTCACAGTGAGGCAGGACAAGCTGTTATAAGAATCTGGGGCGTCAGTCTTCTCAAGAGCAAATGTGAGTTCCTTGCTTCAATGCCTTGAAGCAAATGAAGTGGGTCAAGGTGACCGAGCTGGGCTTGTCCAGCCTTCTGTGGGGCTGATGTCCTTCAGGCCCCCGTGATAAGCAGCCCTGGCTGAGGGTGGAGGTGGAGACTTCGTGGCCAGCCCAGCCTAAGAAAGAAGGGAAGACGGGAGAGGGAAGGAAGGGCCCCTGCCACGTTCCACCTGAAATCTGGGCTGGAGATGCAAACTCCTCCTCAGTCCACAATAATCCCCTGTCCAGTCTGCACATAGCAGCAGCCTTTGGGTGCTGGTGACCCAGGCGGGGGTCTTAGAAACAAAACATCAGCGCCATCGTCCCAACCTCCACATTTCAGCCTTCCACCCCAGGTTTGCTGTCTCGGACATCCACAGAGCTGAGACAAGATACGTATAAATGCCATGCAAATTAAAACCAGTTCTACAGCTCCAAGTGAACAGCGGAGGCAGTGCAGGGCAGTGGGGAGGTTGGCTGGGTGGAGAGTGGATGGCTTTCTGGAGGGTCCGGTGGGAGGCCACTCTTGGGCAGGAGGAAGGGGGGTGGCAGAGGTCGTGCAGGCTGTTCCCCTTTGTGTGCACAGCGCCCCATCCCCCCAGATTCATTCTCCTTCTCTTGGCTCAGTTCTGTGCCCAGAAGCCTGGCCCGGGCACCGAGTGGAGCTTCTGCTCTCTGGCTTCCCACTGGGTTGCCCAGCTGGATGTCCCAGCAAGGGTGCAGGGTGGGAGGACACATGGGGCAGGGCGTCTGTCACCCCCATCCCTGCCTGGAACAGCAGTGGCACAGTCTGCCTCCCTATTCAACCACGTCTCTGGCCAGGAAGCCCCTCCTTCTTGGCTCCAGTCCCAAGGTGATGGTGGAGTCTGCTCCCTCTCTCTGTCTGTTGCAACTTAGGGACAGTGTCAGCTCCCTCCCTCGCTGCCCTCCCTTCACAAGGAGTTGGCCCCGATGGACACAGATGTGAGCTAGAGCTATCCTTTCCTTCTATCTTCTTCGTGGCTCCTCTGTCTCTCCTTCACCTTCTCCAGCAATGTCACCATTCCCTGAGCTCTCAGTGTGTGTGGCTGTCTCTACAAATGGCCTCATGTATGCCTCCAGATCTCACGAGGCACAGGCTAGGCTTATCTCCATTTTACAGATGAAGACATGGAAGTTCAGAGATGTTGAGACACTTGTTCAAGGTCACACAGCTCAAAAATGGCAAGGCCAGGACTCAAACTCAGGCCTGACTCCAACATCCACATTCCTGACCATCTGGGCAAAGCTACACATAGGTTTTCTGGGTTTGGCGATAACAACAACATGTCCCCAATTACGGCGTCATTCACTCCTTTCCCCCGGTTATGGCGTTACTCATTAACATAGCTATTCTACCAGAGGCTCATTTGCAAATGCCTGTAGCAAAATTGAAACAGCTTCGTTCAGAGGGGATACCCTAAAATAGCTAATTTACAGAAAGCCCCTCCCAGCTTGGAAATAGCTGTCATGTTCCCATCCTGTTTAATAATAATAATAATCAGAACTTTGCCAAACATCGATTACTTCATCCCATTTCACAGAAGGGGACATTGAGACTCAAGAGAGGTGAAGAATTTGCCCAACATCCTCACTTATTAGTGTGCTGGCAGTGAGACCAGAAATCCAGGCAGTCCAGGCACAGACCTGAAAGCCAGACCCTCCCACCGTAGCACCTCCCTCCTGTCCACAGCAGCAGCTCAGTTCTCCTGAGAGTGAGGGAGGGGCAGGTGGAGCCGGGGAGACTGGACAGCAGCCAGCCAGGGAGCCGGGGAATGTGAGACCTGAGGGTCAAAGGCTGAGAAGAGCCGAGGAGGAAGGCACCATCTTCGAGCCTGGCTCTCTGCTCTCTGCTCCCTGTACTTGTTGACTGGAGAACCCACGATGTTGCAACGACAGTGGAGGAAATGGTCTGTCTAGACTCACGTGTAATTACCTGCTGTGAAAATCCCCACCGGGATGCGTGCCACAGGCAGGATGACCTGACGCCATGTTCATCTAAGCCCTCGGTACCACTCAGCATCAGCTGGGGCTGGACTGAGCCTGCCGCGCCCCTTCTAGCTGGGGAACCCGGTGGGTGGGGGTGGTTGGTGGTTTTGTTGGCTTGTTTTGAAGCTCCCTGAGGCTCGGTTGTGTTGTCCACAGAACAGACTTCCTGTCTTGAGCACCTGCCCTGTTTAGGCTTCCCAGCAGCAGTAAACAGCATCTCCCGTTGCCTCCTGCTTCCAAGGTAAGTTTCCCAACTCCCCTTGCAGGAAGGCGGGAGCCTATCATGCCCGGGTTCAGGAGGAGGCAGCGTGGGTGCAGGGTGTTGGTGTTGGGTGAGGATGTTGCTGGAGGGATCTGTGGGTTCTGTTACGAGTACTGCGCCCGGTCATAGCGCTGTGATGCCGCCTCCCAGAGGCCTTTGCTGGAGGGCACTCCGGTGGGATCTAGGCATTGCTCCTGGTTTCCACACGTCCCACAGACAATGTGAGAAGAAGTCTTGAATAAATTCCCTTTTCTGCATCAGCTTCCTAAAGTGGGTTCTGTTATTGCAACTACAAATCCTGACTCACGGACTGTCTCACAGGGCGGTTCCAAAGAAGAATCATGGTTGTGAGTTGCTTGGCGAAACACTCCGCACACAGTAGGTACCCCGTATATAATTGTTGAATGAATGAATTAAAGAATGAATTAATGGAAATAAAGCACAGGGCAAGGTGTCCAGCCCCTGGGAACTACTCACTAACTATGTGTTATTAGGACTGATCACTACGATTATAAAATAATTATAATGCAGCCTTGAAAATAGCCACCAGCCTGTGTGCATCTGGGCAGCCAAAGAAAATATGAGTCACCGCCATAACCATCAGGTCTATTGCCAACTTCCGGGCCCAGGTAGAATTTCTCTGTGGCTTTAAGGTTCAGGCAACTAAATATGTGGAGAAGTGATATCTGTCAGGCTGGAGGCTTTATGTCCGGGGTGCAATTTACCACGACTTCTTTTGTCTCTGCCATGGTGGCTGGCAACGTCTGAATGCTGGTGGAGTGACAGCTCTCCGCAGAAGCACGGTAGAAAAACAAGATCAAGGTCGCACGAAAGAGGGTTGTGTGTTCTCGTGGCAAATCTGGTCCACCCTGGCTGGTAGAATAACCTAAAGGAAATTGTCAAATCAGGTGGAGCAAGGCGGCTCAAGCTCTGTCCAGCAATCTGCTGTATTTTTCTCTTCTCTCTGTGGGTTTTGAACCAGAATCTGTTTCCAGTTCATGTCTAGTTAAATGTCTTTATTCTCTTTGGTTTAATCACTAAGAGCAGAAAGGCATGATGAGGGCGTCTCTGATCATAATTAAATCTAGCCTGTGAAAATGCTCTTGGCTAGACTCTGCTGGTCTTCATCGTAAAGCCCGTGGGAAGCTCTCAGGATCAATATTCTGCCTTGTTCGTAAAATCACCTACGAAGGTCCTGGTTTGGCCCTCTGTGATGGCTTGCATGAAACTCTGTGCAGCACCAAGTAGGGCCTGGATTCCTCTAAACTGTTCATGTTATTTTTGGTGCGGGTGAACGAGGTTTGTTCGTGATAATCTGACTGTTGAAAACAGGTGGTGCAGATAAATGAATGGCTATCTCTGGTGCATGCTTTGGGTGTATTCCAGACGTGTCAACTTGTAAACAAAGGAGGTGTCCACTCCATGCTGGGGACCGTGTGGTCAGCTGGGTGGCTGTTGATGGGTGGAGGTTTACACAGCAATGTCCCATGGCAGGTACTGCCTGTGACCGCCACTCCTCCCTGACAGGGTTCCGATGGGAATGGGAGAATTTGAATTCTGTATCACAGGCTGGTCTGTTCACTTCATGCTTTTGGAGGCCTGGTGATAGAATTGTCTGTGAATAGATGATTAGTACTTTGACCTTATGCATTAATTGACTGTGCCTAAAGATCTGAAAAAATGGATTTCAGTCTCTTTCAGGGAAATGCTCAGGAATTTTCTGAAAAGACAAACCATATAGTAAAATGTGGTGATTGCCTTCATGGGGCCTGTGCATGTGGGTGGATCTTTGATGCCAAGAACTGGGTTAAAAGTAAAGATCTTGGCTACTGAAGGTGAAGAATGTGCATTGCCCCCCGGCCACCGTATCAGCTCCCGTGGGGCCCCAGTCTCTGCAGATTCTGATTGCACCTGGTAACCTGGTCCACCCCTGACCTTTCTCACCTCAGAAAATGGCATCTCCACGGAACCAAAAGCTCAAAGTTGCCCCAAGTCTCCTGTTTTGGTCACATTCCTTCCCCATCCATCAGAAAACACTGCCGATTCCACTGTAAGAATCTATCTTGGATGCACCCCTTGCCGTCAACTCCCGCGACATCCTAGACAGGCCCCCTTGCCTTTCCAGCGCTAGTTCAGTCCCCTCCTCATGGGCTCCTGGGCCCTTCTGAACCTCCTCTGCACAGTTCATTCTCACATGAGAGCAAGAGATCCTCTTAAAATATAGTCAGGTCTGGTTCCTCCTCTGCTCAAAATCCCACGAGTCAAAGCCAAATTCCCATAATGTCTACAATGATGGTTCTCAAATGCTTCCCCCAGGGGACATTTGGCAGTGTCTAGAGGCAGTTTTGGTTGTCACAAATGGGAGGCGGGGGATGCTACTGGAATCTGGTGGGTAGAGGCCAGGGGTACTGCTAAACTTCCTACAACACACAAGACAGCACTGCCACAGAGAAGCAGCCAGCCTAACATGCCCACAGTGACAAAGCTGGGGAGGCTTGGCACATTCCAGGCAGACAGCTGTCATTTGCTGTCTGCCTGGAATAGTGAATAGGATGGAGAGTTCTTGTGTAATCTCACAGAAAGTGGCCGAATTTGTTTGTTCTTATCTTTGCCATCTCTATTGCATATAGGAGGGGCCAGGAAAAATGATTGCTTTCAGTTAGGAATGCGTTGAGCTGCAATTAAAAACTTAACCGTGACTTAAACAAATCAATGTATCAGTGCTCTTTTTTTTTTTTTTTTTTTTTTTTTTTTTTTAACTTTTTCCACATATAAATGCTTGGAGATACTTCAGGGCCATTATGCTCACCTAAAAGTGTTGTCATCGATCCGTGTCCAGGGATTCCTGCCCTGCCATCCTTGACAATTGACCATCATGGTCCTTGTCACTGGATGGATTCCATGATTCAGGCCTGAGGAAGGGAAAAGGGGAAGAGCACAAGACCAACCATGTCTTTCTCTTTTTAAAATATGTTTCTAAAATCTCCACCCCATTGCTTCCACTAATGAGACTCTGGAAAATATAGATTTCAGTTTTGCCACCCTAACCAAAACCCCTTAGTGAAAATATCAGCAGGGAACCATCAGCATTTGAGATGCTTCACAAACACTGCCTAGGGCCATAAGTGCTCTTTATGGGCTTCTGGTTAAGATGAACTTGTTCTTTCTTGAGGTCCTCCGACTCTGTCGGTGGAACCATTCTCCTCCTGGTCAGCTTGCCTCCAAAACTCAGCACCGCATGGTCAGTGCTTAGTAAGAATACATCTTTTTCCTGAGAAAAAAACTTCGTCACAGAAGCACAAGGTTACAACAGATCTTCAAGGTCACCCTCTTTTCCTAGGTAACATCTTGGATCAGCATTTACCTAAAATACTTCCAGGAATGGGAACTCATCAACCTAAAAGACACCTCCAACATCAGGGGAATCTCTGTTTCTTCATATCCAACTAGAATTTTCCAACCTTGAACTCCACTCATTGCCTCTAGTTCCATCCTTGAGGAGATCTAATCTTCACTGCTCCCAGGTTATAGAAGCCCTGGATAGTTAATGGCACAGGAGGGAGGTTGTCTGTAGTTTATATCTGAGAACACTGAGATGCTGGCTGTGAGCTTCAGATGCAGACTTCTTGGTAATTGAGCATTCTTTCTACTACAATCATAGAGGACAAGGACAGACCACACCATACCCATCTCCAGACATTACACTACAGCACAGCAGGGTCTTGGTGCAAGCTCACAGCCCACATGTGTGCTGCACTCTACTGTGGCCTGGAAGGAGGCTTGGTCTGGGGCTAGATTTATGAAAAACACAGGTCCTGACTTGGTCTGGGGCTAGATTTATGAAAAACACAGATCCTCAGCCTGGTTGGCTTGGGTGATGGGAATGGCAGGTAAGCTGGGTGCTTTGAGAACATGGTGGAAGTGAATATAATCTGGCCTGGGGGCATGACAGAGGGCTTCCTGGAGTCAGTGACACACTTTGTGTCCACAACCTCCCCTTACTAAGGATATGATGACACCCTGTGCTTCCAACCAGGGGCTCAAATCTTTCAACTCCTACTGGGGTATTCTTGCATGCAATCTTCCCAGAGGTGATGGGAAGAAGGTGGCCTGAAATGGCACCTTTATAGGTGACAAATGTTCTAAATCCAGACAGTTGTGATGGTTGCCCAACTCTCGAGATATGCTAAAAACCATGGCATTGTGCTCTTTAAATGGGAGCATGTTATAGTGTGTGAATCATATCCCAGTAAAGACGTATTTTAAAAATTTTGTCATGATATTTATGATATTTTATTCTTTTTTTCTTTTTTTTTTTTTTTTTTTTTTTTTTTTTTTTTTTTTTTTTTTTTTTTTTTTTTGAGACAGGGTCTTGCCAGCTCTGTTGCCCTGGCTGGAGCACAGTGGAGTGATCTCGGCTCACTGTAGCCTTGATCTCCTGGACTCAATGGATCCTCCCATCTCAGCCTCCCACGTAGCTGGGATTACAGGGGGATGCCACCACACCCTGCTAATTTTTGTATTTTTTATGGAGATGGCGTCTCACTATGTTACCCAGGCTGTTCTTGAACTCCTGGGCTAAAGCAATCCCTTTATCTCAGTCTCCCAAAGTGCTGGGATTACAGGCATGAGCCACCGTGCCTGGCCAAGATTTTATTCTCTAATCCGTACCTGGTTAACTCACAAAACCCAGCCGTGTTCATTCTGCCCAGTGACGGTCTCTCTGGGAGTGGACAACTCAAGCCCCTGCAGTGGAGCCCCTCACTCCGAGCTCTGCTCATCTTTTTCCCATCAATTAGTAACTTGGCCATCACCTCCCCCACCCACGAGAACCGCTGTACTCCTCTGACAGCCTCACAGACGATTTGGAGGTGAGGCTGGGGACATTTGGACAGCAGTCAATTCTCTTTTCTGCTCCAAGTGTGGTCCTGGACCAGCAGCGCCAGCATCCCAGGGAGGGTGTTAAAAATGCAGAACCC